GGGGAGGGGGGGCCGAAATTTGGGCCGATCGAGACAACAATGTCCTAGGGGTCCGCATGCCCCCGCGAAATTTTTGTGTTCTAGACGCCGGAAAATAACATTTGAGGCGTTGTGGGCTATCATTTTTTTCTTTTTCTTTCTTTTTTTCTTTTTTTTTCTTTTTTTTCCCTCCCAAAAGGGGGGGCCGGCCCCCCCTAAATCCGCCCCTGATATTGACAATTAAACAATACAGTTGCTATGAGGCGATTATTTTTTTTAAAACTTAACAAGGTCTTATAAAGATACTGTATAGCAATTCTGAGTGTAAGATAGGATAATATTGGGGGGGATATGTCCCTTTAATTTTTACAAATACATATTTTTAAGTCTCCAAAATGTCGGCTATGTGTCAATTTGATGCATGCATTATGGAGAAGAATACCAGGAACTAATACAATTGCTTCCAAAAAAAATTGCTGAGTGTTATACAAAAACATGGCTATCATGGACCTTGTCAACTAGAGCGCTAAAGATCTGTAACTAATGCACAAAATACATAAAAATGAACTTCAAATCTGTATCAGCATTCCCACGTAAGCTATTATGCTGTCTTCATGATAGACTATCACAGCATATGTGTCAATTGTGACACCAAGTGATAATGCTGTACTTCTTCAATAAGGCACAACCATTTGGGTAGATGGTGCAATGAATATTTACTAGGATATTTTTGTCCTATTTTCTTGTTCTACTTAAGTACCTCTAATTAAATTAATATCCTCCAAATTATCGCGGTTATTCATCTTCCCAATCAAAAGCATTCAAATCAAATTACGCTTTCTCATTCCTGATTTTTATTCGCCGACAAACACCTCAATTCTGTTACAACTCATGCTAGCAGAACTAATGCTTAAATGAACGGGCGTTTAACGACAGACCGCGTACATCAACAGATTGTTACCAAATCCTGGAATTACACCGGTCGTCTCTAAACACTTTCAAATGTCCCTAGGTCAATCGAAGGAAATAAGCTGAGCTCTTGCGAGAATAATGTCTATTGATTTTCCGCACCCAACAATTTCTG